AAGGACAAAAAAAAATAGCAAATTTGGATGTGCGTGCCCTCAAAAAGAAAATGTCTGAAAAGGACGGTTTTTCCATTGACTCCGCTATTATTTTAACTGCCTTCACTCGTCGGCAATGTGTGTTGTTTTTTTTTTTAAAAAAGTGATTTTTAGAATTGTAATAAAACTTAAGCCTATAGTGAATTTATACATTTTTTTCTTGAGAATTGGCAATAAAAATTAAACATTATTAAAATTATGACATGCAGCCATTAACGACATCATCAGAAGAGGTTTGGATGCAGCTGGGTTCCCTTTCCAAATCGAACCCGTAGGCCCCGACCGTGGTGATGGAAAGCGGTCGGATGGCATTACCATTTTCCCTTTTAACACTTCCGCTGCTAACTACGGAGATCTTCGTTTTTCTTATCTTGCTCCAGCTGGCTAAGTACAGAAACCTACGTTTTTTTTGCATACCGCTGGTATGAGTGTCCCGTTGCGCAATCTATCCTCAGAACACAAAGGACAATGCTTCAAAAGATATCATGTGTATACCCATTACTGATCTGTTGAGTCATTCCCAGGTATATGCATGAAAATGGAAGGCTGTAAAACACACTGGTGCCAGTTTTCTGTGTAATAAAATATGTAGGTTGAAATTTGGCATTTTCTTTAAAAGATGGCTGGCCAGATGGGGGCAGCACTGGGCAAATGAGTCGCAGTGAAAGTGTTAAAATGGGTAAGTCGTTGATTTGGGATGCGACCTGTGCGGATCCATTTCCGGCCGGTAATTTGATCAGGTCCGCGTTTGAGCCGAGATCCGTCGCGTTAAATATTCTTCTCCTGCTAATAGATTTTTTTTTTACTTCTGTGACTTCAGGGGTTATTGGCCCTCGTTCGATGGCGTTCCTTCGGAGGATTGTCGCGATTGCGTCTCGATTAAGGGACGAGCCTCGTGAAACGGAGTGGCTCTTGCAGCCTGTCTCACTGGCGATGGTTCGAGGTAATGCTTTCTCCATCATTGCGGCTGGCAGAGGATAGCAAAAAAAAAAATTGTTTATAGTTACTTTGTTCAAACTTTTTTCAATAAATAAATTTCTTTATTAGATTCATTATTTACAAGAATAATTTTATATTTACAACATTCTAAAAACCAATACAATTAAAACTAATGCAATACAATATTTATCATTTACCAATTTATAAAGATATAAACATGAAAACTAATTTTTATTCAGAAATTTATGAACAAATTAATCAAATATATGAACCAACTTATCATTTACCATTTTATAAAGTTCGAATCAGTTGGTAATTTGCCGTGGTTCTGCCAATCATTCCAGTAAACAATATGATAAATAAATAGATATTATTATATAAGAACAAAGAAGAGCGAATATCGTTAAAAGAAAAAAACGCCATTTTGATATTCTGTTTTTTTTAGGCGGGCACGAAGATCAAAGTTTGCCGAAATTTCATTCTAAATATGATTATTCCATATTCTATATTTATTATTTTTGTTTTGCTTATTGTTTATTGTTTGTTTTATTTATTTTATCTAATGTTTTTGTCTGAATTTCTGGGGATGTAGTTATCTATATTTTCACTATTTATATGCTGTCCTCATTTTGTTGTTGTTATCCCAACGCTTCGGCCTTTGTGCCATCCGACCTTCCTCATGTCTATATTGAGCGAAGTAATTATTTCTAGAATGACCCCGATCAATATATTCTTGAGGAAGTCCGGAAGGCACAACCGCCGAAACGTTGGAATAACAATGATAATGATGAGGGCAACAGTCCGTATATAAATAGTGTGAACGATGTTTATTTATTCCTGATTTTTATTTTATTTTTGGTTTATTTTTATTTTATTTTGTTTATTTATTTTGGTTTCTTCTAAAATATTATATTTTCCTTTTTTTAGTATCAGTTATCTAGTTGTGTCGGCAAGAACAAAAATTGGTTTTCTTAACGCTCCAGCATATATAATACACCAGCTTATAACTGTTTCTGGATACATTAACTTCCAGAAAACTCGAAAACATGCTGGTTTTCAGGAGGCAGTGATCTCCAAAATTCCTTGGCTTCTAAAAGATATTGTCTTCCCAGATGTTCTGACTCCAAAGACATCATCAACCTCTATATAATAGTGTTGAAACTTGACTAATGCATGGAATAATAATGCAACACAAAATGTACTTAGAACAAAATGTATTGAAACAAGAAAGTGTACACAATATTTACATATAGTCTTTTGTATATTCCTGGGAACACCGTTCCTGGAGAATGTGTTGACTGAGTCGCAGTCGGGCAGAGTCTCTGGTTGAATCTCTTGATTCCTCCCTCTCTTCCCGGTACCAACCATATTTATATGGTCGGTACTCCACTATGCAAATTAGGTGGATCCTACCACAACAAATAGCGTTAATTTTTCACTGGCTTTCAGGAGACAGTGGTCTCCAAAATACCTGGCTTCTAAAATATATTGTCTTCCCAGATGTTCTGACTCCAAAGACATCATAAGCCTCTATATTCTAGCGTCTTCTAAGAGTCATAGGATTTCAAGATGCACTGAATTTTCTTTTACTTTTTTTTTTTTTTTTTTTTTTTTACTAATGTTCACCCAGTACAAGGCTCAAGAGCCACTCAGAGTAGAAGGTTAATAAATAAGTCGAGTGGTATACGCGCAAGTATGAAGATGTTGAGCATAGTTAATGATTGACCCATGACTTGGAGAGTTTGATTGTAGTGTTCGCGGAGGCATCCCCGTGAGTGACTGTTTTACAAAGTAGGAGTTTTCAGGAAGAAGCTGGCTGAGTACAACTGACAAATGGAATACGGAGGAAACGACTTTGATTCGATTTCCTGGACTTAATATAACGAGTAATTGATGTAAAGTCCTGAACTGGGGAAACTAAAGAGTGGAGTTCATCTGGACATCTTTGGGGAAAGTGGTTCCAGAGTAAAAAATATCTCATGCTCCACAAGGCGGCGTAAAACATTTTGAACACTATAAAGACTGGAAAGTAAGGATTGTATAGCTCCAGATTTTTATTATGCAATTCAAGGTTTTCACAATAAAACAGTGAATTTGCATAAAATCTGGCCTAGTGTATATGAGGTTTACTTCGGTATCAGTTAGTATCACCTGCTTAGTACAAGAGGTAGGGGGAGGACGGATCGAAATTAGTATAGCATAGGTCTACCAAACGAGCTTTCGAAGTACTGTTCTATAGTAAGCACCTCACAAATCTTAGCCTCATCTGTCAAGGTGTAAAAATGCCGGACGTTCATTATGGAACGAAACCATTATGCTCCAATGATTGTCCTATATGACAAGCAGCCATATATTGACACAGGGCTACATACAATGACAGAACAGCAACAATGGAATGAACAGATTTCATTGGAGGAGATATGTGCATCTGATAATAATTAGTAGGCTGTCAGTTTGTGCCTTTCTCTCAGTCAGCATTTTCGATCTCATTTTACTCGTAACCTATCTTAATCTGTTAACTATCTATCGATTTCATTCTGTGCATATCTATCTCATTCTGTTCATACGTATCTACCTAGGTGTCTCATTCTGTTCATATCTATCTATCTATCTATCTATCTATCTATTTCATTCTGTTCATA